TTTTCCGATAGATAAAAAAGATATCTAATGGCATCTAATAATGTTCTAATAATGTTCTCTCTCTTTCTCTCTCTCTCATGTAATATATATAATAATATTCTCTCCTTTTTATATTTATATTTATATTATATATTTTTATATTTATATTTTATTATTTATATTATATATTTTTATGTTTATATTTTATTAGTTATATTAATTGATCCCTATTTATATTAATTGATCTTGCGATTTATAATAGTGCCATTGAGTTATGTTTCAGAGTGCAGACGTAGCAAGAGCGATATATTTCATGCCGTGGTATCGTTTCTCACATCAAATAAAAAGATCTTTAAATATTATCACAATGAGATCTCAGAAACCAACGCAGCTAACTGCCGGCTACATCATACCGTTATCCTTACAAACATTCGCATCTGTACGTACGTTTGTTTATATTACATGCAAAACGTGTTGTAATTGTGTCCGTTGAGTAATTACTTCGCAAATAATGTATCTAAAACGTCACGTATTTTAGATGGTTTCATCCGCGGCATCCTTTTTCACCATGATACGCGGTATGAATTGACGAAATTGACAACGTTTATCGATGTTAGAGCAAAGTGTGTGTACATTTTTACGTACATTTTTAAGTAGAACATATGTGATTATTAATATTTATGATTGTTGTAACATTGTGTAACATTGTGTAACATTATTGTGTTGACACATGGATCGAATGAGTATAAAAAGTTCATAAATTTTAGTGTATAATTTTTATGTGTAATCTCTTCCGGAATATTTGCGAAAAAGATGAACTCAGTATAGTGGACTAAATCAAAAGGAAAAGGAAAATCGAGTGTACATCATCAGAGTGCCGAGTCTGATGATCATCAATATACTTAATTAGCATTTACGTGCTAATGACTGTATGTAATTATTGCGTTGTAATTAGAGAAAAATAAGATGTAGAAAAAGCGGATAGAGAACTGTCGTTAGACATGACGGGCTTTTTAGCGGATTAACTTTGAACTCTGTATGGGCTGTTCTATCCGTTCTAGCGTTGACAATGTTGGAAGATTTAGCTGCGGCGGAGACACTCCACAGCTCTGCTGCGATTGCTTAAAGTAACGAGGCAAGCGTTAACCTCCGCCTGCGAAACTAATCCAAGGAAAATGTCGGAGAGAGAAAGGCTTTCGATGTAACTCTTGGCTTAAGCCCAGCATCGATCATTTCTTTTTCCGTTGCCGAGCTGCGCCCTTGGTTCGCACGTGTCAAGAGTTACTCTGCCGCATCACGAGAAATACGGTTAACAGGGCGCTGTCCATCTCTCGCGAGAGAGGAATGCGAATCGTGGGATATGCGAATTATGAAATTAAGCACGGAAGCGATAAAAAATCAAAAGAAACTTATCAAAATAATGAGCAATTAAAAGACAATGAACCGCGTGAAAAATGCAATTAAAAGACAATGAACCGTGTGAAAAATGCAAAATAAGACCAAGCAAACAAATTTAAGATTTATATAAAAAGATTTGTTCGTGTGAAACTTTGAGAAATCTGACGAGAGCTATGAGATACATGAGGTGCATTGAGGATTCGAGGATGTCAACAGACGATATGAAAATGAGACGATATGAAAACCAAAAAGATCCGCCGAGTCACGGAAAACCGACCAAGTCTGTCTTCGTTGTTCTTTTACATTTGAATATATATTACATATGTATTATGAGATATTAAACGCGTATATATATATATATATATATATATATATA